AATTATTAAATACTAATTCTCAGATAGGTCTGAAATATATCATACCTTTTAAAAACATATTTTTGTCAATGGTTGTGTCCACCAGGTCTTTTTCAATTAAGTTTGGATTATTTGTACCAGAAGGCAATGATAATGCAAACTTGACTTGATCTGAATGCATTTCCTTTGACAAAATAGTGGTACACTTATAAGCATTTTCTATTTCACACACAGAAGGGCTGTCTTGCTGTTTTGCATTAGCTGTTGCAATTAAAGGAACCTTCACTGGCAGTTCTACAGATCTGAAAAGAGGAAATTTTACTGTGAAGATTTTTATTACATTTCATGCCGTAATATTCAATTGTTTAAAACATTCCTTTAATAATAGATAAAAGCAGAAAACAAGAACCCTAGCATGAAATCTGGTTCTATCTTACGGGCAAATGTGGTTTTTTATGACACAGAATCCTGCTTTGTACTGGTGAGATCCCATGCAGGAAGAAGCAAGTTATTCAAACACAAGTTTTGTCTACCACTCTTTCTATATAAATTCCCAGTTGCAAACAGGTGATTTCTGAATTAGACAGGAAATTGTTTCTCATTACCTTAAAAATACCTAGGACAATATACAAGATTAGTTGTAAAAAAAAAAAAAAAAAAAATTCACACCCTGAATTAGACAGGAAATTGTTTCTCATTACCTTAAAAATACCTAGGACAATATACAAGATTAGTTGTAAAAAAAAAAAAAAAAAAACTTCAGACACTTACCAACTTCCACATTTAATATAACCACCTACCTAGCAGACTGACATGTACCCTTGAACCAGCCATCAGTAAGGCTATTTGGACCAGCTGACAGAGGAAGAGAACTCTGAAGATTCTTTCAAAAGAAGAACAGTGGGGAAGTAGAAGCAGTTGAATATTCTCTTATGTTTTCAGTATCAGAAATATCCACAGGTAAAAAAAAAAACCCAAACAACGAATGGGCAAAAAACAGAAGTACTGATGAAAGGTGCGTGATATTCAAACACACACAATAATTTGAAAGAAAAATATTTTGTAGCAAGACTTATCAAAATCTGTAACCTACCTGCATCCCAGAGCAATGTCTAGACTTTCTTAATGTAGGTATAACTAATGCAAAGTGCATTATACATACAGAAGCACAGAGCAACACAGAGCAACCGTTTAGAACAGGCAATAAAAATAATATTTTTAAAAACTTGACTGTAATTTTGCCATAATACAAGGACTAACATGGACTATGTTTTCTGGTGAAGTTTGCACATGCAAGATATTTATTGCCGCACTAAGCAAGGAAGGCAAGTAGCTCGCTCATTTGCGAAGAATATTACACACTGAAGTACTGGGGTGTTGTTTTTTTCTTTTAACCACATGATTTCATTAAGGCTAACTGATATTTAACTTTTAGATACTTTGTAAACAAGATTAATTCCTAAATTTTTAGTGCAAGGAACAGCAAAATGTAATTGATTTCACTAGACTAGTGTTTCATCCCAAGTTTTAAGGACCTGGGGTAAATGTTTTAAAATGCATCTGTGATTTCAGCATTGCACTCATTTAGATGCTTTGAAAATATTATCCTGGAAAATGAGTTCAACGTGGTAATAGTTAAAAAAAAAAATCTTACCTCAGAAAGACTGCTTATTTCTATTGCAGTTAAGAGTTTATCATTCAAAAATGCTTCTATTTCTATAAGAGTTTTATTCTGTGTGTAAAAAAAGAAATTTAAAAAACATATTTTAAGTGGTTTCTGGCTTAAGAAAAGACATAAAGGGGAATCTACGTTGTAAATTTTTCTTTTTTTTCCTCTCAATTTAGCACAAACTGATTTTTAATACCTTCTTAATATCTATAAATATAAAGGTGAAGCTGACACTAAAATAGCAATGGATAGACATATACACTGATGGGCAAAACAGTAAGTACAAAAAAATCCTATCAAAGAAAAAAATCAAACGTGATTAGTATGTTATCAGATGATATAACTTCACAAATCCGAGATGTACATTTTAAATCACCATTTTAAGAAACAATATTAAGTTTCCAAAAAAAGGTAAAAGGTTGGTTTAGCTATAAGTTTAAATGATATTATTTGCAGCATACCAAACAGTTTAGTTTTCGACGAAGCGAGATATTATGAAGCTGCAGCTTTTCTACTTCCTTCTGAAGAAAAATCTTCTCCTTCTTTAGCTTCCGAGAATTTTCTTTCTCCACACTCAAAGCCACAGCTAATGCTTTATTATTTTGTTTTAAAGATGCTTTAAACATAGATGAATTATCTAAAGGAGACAGAATCATTGTCAACGGCTTCCATTCCAGGCCATCTCTGCATGAACGATTGCTATATAACAACATTTTTATCTGTAGGTTTCGGTGGAACAATGGCAAAGCCTAACACTTTCCAAAATAAAACAATTTCTGTCATTCTAATGACTACTCTGTAAGCGTCAAGTTCAAGTTTATTTCATGCACGGACTCTGCTCTAGTCTGGATTTTTTAACATAAGGTTGTTTTAAGAAAAAAGCATTTAAAAGTGGATAGTTTCACAGGCATAAAAACGTTTCCAAATTTCTAAAGAACAAGTACACATCTTACAAATTAAAAAGTTCAAACATTTTGAGCATACATGTGAGTTTTGACAACAGAAAGAAAAGCTTTACATTAGAAATATACCTTCCACCGTGCTAATGAAAACCTGCCTGCCTGCATCCATTACGGTATGTTTTAGAAACTCTGCCCCCACCCACCCAGTGACACTGGATATTACCAGGATGACTTTTTTTGCCTCACATTCATAGTATACACAGAGGTAACTTGAACCCAAGTCTGACCATACTCTTTTATAATACAAAAAGGAGCAAAGTTAGCTTGAAATCTGCTCCAACTACATATCTACCCTGTGTTATGTTATTACTTCTGTGATCTATAATCCAATATTTGCAAGGTCTTATTTCTTTGCTTTGGGAAGGAGACAACAACAGTGGAACCTTGTTAATCCAAAGAATGTGCTTTGAAATTACTATTCAGCTGAGTGAAGTATTTGTATTACTGCAGTGTGGAGGTTTCTAAAAGACTTTATTAATCTATACTGTTTATTTGTTCAGTGAAAATTAGTGGCTTTGACATAAAGCCACAGTAAGCTCAAATAAATATATACAAACAAACAACAAAAAATATATATACAAACAACAAAAATTCTTGCCGCACCGATCACAGAAAGAGAAGCATGCAATAAACCATGCTGCTTGAATTAGAGCTTTGAAATAGCAGTGTTTCATTATGTTCGTAGTTTTCCTACCTTTTGCAGAAGAGGATCCGAGATGTTCCATAGTGGTGTTTTTGTCAGAGCCAGAAACAAAACCCAGTAATTTACCTTGACAAACCTACGTTTGAATTTCATCCTGATTTACTGGAAAAGCAAAGTACCTTCTGGCAAGTGATTAAAACAGCAGATGAGTATTTCTAGTTTTCCTTGATTCAGTAAATGACTCAACGAAGAACTTCATATAAATCCCATTTTGCAAATGGGGATACTAGGTATTTCACTATGGCATCTGTATTTTAAAAGGCCATTCATTTTACTCATTTTTGTACCTCAGTTTTTAGATACCCCATGTGAATGTGCACGTGGATGTTAGAAATGCACTTGCCAAAGAGCAAGCTTTGAAAATACTGAAAATACTTGGAGAATTAGATAAATAAATAACTTACGATTATGTGCTTTAGCTTTTAGACTCTCCGAAAATTCTCAGCCTACCACTTTAATATTTTTAACATGCAGCAATTCCAACAAATCACGTTCAATACACTCACTACTCCTTTTGAAGTCATACATTCTAAGTGCAGTAAATGGCTTCAGTTTCATTTCAACGGGACTTACTTATCAATTTCATTTTGATTTTAGACGCTAGAGAAGCATTCCATTTTGCAGCTTGTAATGTTCCATCCCTCTTCTTCACGGGCCCTTTAACAGCGTCCGAGGTGAAAACGGGAAATGGTTTAGCAGTTGCTTGTTTGTCCATCGTCAGAACGGACCTGTATGCTTGTCAAGAGGAATGCCCAAATAACGCGTGATCTTTCTCACACTTTTCAAAATTAGGTCTTATGACCTCTTACCAGGATTCGTTGTCTCTCAAGTCGAGAAAACCGCTTCGCTCTTTACCTTCGATCAGT